TCTTGTCAGTTTCTCTGCAAAATTAGTGCAATGAAGTTCTAAGTTTTCTCTTTGATCCTACTTTCAACCTTCCTGTTTTCCTCCTTTCGTATGCACTGGAAATTCGAAGCCTTCATATCCACACGTTCTGTTTTAAGCACAATTACCAAAGGGGTTTCAAAAGTAACTCTTGAATTGCAGAAACAGGGAATTACTGAAGAACCTATCTTTTTCAAAATTCACAGACTTATTTCACAAAACATCCCGTGAAACATAGTTGTTCGTAAACCAATGAATATCCACCGTGGCAAATATACGCGTTTTTATGGTATAAGTCATTTAGAGGAGAGTAGTATCTATTTTGTGAATCAATCTTGCATGTGATGTTCCCTTCATTACTGTACCTATTGCTGTACCCATTATTGACTACGATTGAGCGATCAAAAAGTGCTGGTGATTTTTTCAATGAATTCGACATCAACAGCACACTTAGTTGGATTTGTTAGTAATAAAGAGTGGACGACAGTCTCGAAGAGTTAGGTCTTTTTGGAAAGACCTATCAGTATCTATGTTGCGAACTGTCGCTGTGTATTTGCTTATCTCGGGTTGGAGTTGGCCTACTTCGTCGTACACGATAGATCCTCGTAGCTGTGCACTATATATATATTTTTTTACAGGTTAGAGAGTCTGCAACGGAGCTGTAACTTGAGCACGGACTTCCCAATCTTCAGGCCATCACTTGCAGACTTCTCCGGCATGCTTGGATCTCAAGCTTCGCAATCCGCCACCCGTTCGCACTCGGCAGCACTCAAAAAGTCGGACAAGAATCATCTTTTCACGTAGGTCTGCGTGATAGAGTTTGTTTGACCCAATCTCTCTCTCTCTCTTGAAGAGGGTTGGGCTCTGCTAGAGAATTGATGCCCTTTTCTTGTGTGTCTCTGTTCTTGATTGATCCCTTTTTGGTCGAGCACTGGAACGTGAAGTTACTCACCTCACCCCATAAAATCCTCCCTGTGGTTCATAGACCTGCTCTTTGTGAAACAATACTAACAATTTTGAAATTCTCTCTCTTGTGTTCTGTATCTTCCAGACTAATTTACACGCCTCCAACAAGTAGGCATCGAAAAAAAGCGGAATCCACCGGACCAGTGTCACCACAGAGGCCTGTGCTGTCGGCCAGACGCTCCTACTACACAACTCACGCGGACAGTCATACGCCAATTTCCATACTGAAAGTAAGTTACACGATTCCCTGTTCCGTACCTCTCCGGTGTATATTCCTATTCTGGATTTTTTACACTGTTTACTCATCCGAATAGATTGTTTCAATTATGGATGATTCGATGTTTTCGACCACTCACGTCTAGAGGTCATTTCACGAGTACGATGAAGGGATGAACTTTCAAACGAAGCGATCCGAGGCTGGCGTTTTAACCTTATACGACTACGGTTTTTAGTTTCAGTTTAAACAAACATTAGGCATGCACTTCCGTGTGTCGCTTATGTTTGTTGTGTTTTTTGGCTACGATAGGAGGAAAACAGGAAGGTTGAAAGTAGGATCAAAGAGAAAACTTAGAAC